ATATATTAAAATAACTGACTAACTAGACAAATTAAATGGCGAGAAATTGTGAAATAAGGATAATAAGGAAAACATTGTGAATTACACTACTCTGGATGATAAATTCATATTATCAGGTTGGATGTCTGATCAGTCAGTCAGTCAGTCAGTTGCAACGTAGAACTACGTACGTATGTACATAAGTTCATGTTGCCATACCACATTAGCACAAAGACGCAGATGTCAAATCAAATCCCATAGTGATAAAGATAGAAGATTAGAATTTGAGAGAGCTCAAAGAGTGGATGCACCTGCGCCATTACAAACGATTCTGAGCCATGTCATTCAAGGTCTCTAACCATTAGTGACTTTCGTCTCGTGGACCCCAACCAAGTAGCCTACATCTACCAACATGACTCAGTCTACTTGTCACTGACTTCATGGATTTCTGCCATGTTTTGGTTTGGCCGCCCATAGCTTTCTTCCAATCTACTCTTACACCACAAAACATAGCTCATCGAGGCAGTCGGTGGTTAGCCATACGTAACACATGTCCCAACCACCTCAACTGATGAAGTGTCACTCCTGCGTCTATTGATCTGCCATTCTTACCTAGCACCCGATTCCTAATAACAGCGTTGCTCACTCGGTTGTCCCACGATATACGAGCAATGCTTCTTAAACATCTATGATCGAATACTAGTAACCTACGAACATCTTCTACTCTTAACGGCCATGTTTCACAGTCATATAGGATGTCTGATCAGATTGTGTTTGAGTAGTCTTGCACTAATATGTATTACATCATCCTGTTAATAATTTATTTACTTGTAGATAAAGTCAATTTAAAAGCTTTTTAATTGAAAACTTTAAAACCTATATAGAATGAATTGAGGTAAAGATAATTATATTGAGTAGTATATTGTATCAGAGATGTGGCAGAATAATAATAATCTTATTTAAATAGATAAGATCAAATATTTATTAAATCAGGAAAAAGTGCTCAAGGTGGATAGGACACACAATAAGGTTATCTCCCAACTGCATCACAAGGCGATTGATAACTTGGAACCCTCCACACCAAAGGAATAGTAGTAGACCAAAGAACACACAGTGCCATGAATTGGAAGCAGACATGGTTGGATCTGGCAAGGAAGGCCCAGCAGAGCGTAGGTTGGAGAATGCTGTTCCGCGGCCTATGCTCCGCGAGGGGTATACAACTATTTAAATCGTTAAAACAAAATATTTATGTAATGGCCTGAGCAAATTTAGTCGATATTCAATCATGAATAATTTCATAGAAATTCATAAGGGGCTTTTAGTTTGACTGTTGAATCTCGACTTAATCTACAGTTACAGTGTTGACTGATATAATGGTAGGTTGGAAAATGAGCTAAGGATGAGTAGATCAGGAGATAGTATCATTCTATGATGTCATTTGAATATCAACATTGATATGTAAAGCTTTTTTCGACTTGTATGCTCACTACTTGTAATCGATATTTAAAGATTCATCAAACATTCCTAATGAGACATCAAATAGACAGAATGAGTGATTAAATATTTCTTCATCAACTCTCTACAGTGATATGTATATATATACACACATATATTGCACTAGATGGCCGTTTTTTCCTAGTATGGGACTCCTTACCGGTGCGGATCCATTACGCCACATGCTGGAATCGAACCCAGGACCAACATACTAACGCGTAAATGCTCAAACGCATGACCGCTGAGGCGGTTACCCACTGTCACAATGGTCGATGGCAATGGTCACACAATATCGTGAATTGATGGAAGTCAGATATCCCCGCTGTTGGATTTCAACTCAATGGTTAAGAGGTTAGACGTTCGCATGTGAGACCGAAGGTCCTAAGTTTGATCCCAGTATGAAAGGTGGTGGATCGACACTGACGGGAAGTCCCATCTTAGGACGAAACAACCATGTAGTGCTTCCAGGTTTCCAATGGTGCCGTAACGTTGATCGGTTCATGATTTCAGAGAGGCTATATAATCTCCCAAACCTATTTTAGTGACCTGGGATCTGACTCTAATTTGTATTAGCAACTAAATATATGCTATGAAAATTTCCTTTAACTTCCATAAAGTTTTCTTAGGCGAACCCCGTTTTTACGACGGCGATAATAAGAAGCCCAATACGGTTTTATATAGATGAGTTTATTTGTTACATTTGCGTAAGCGGACAGGCGATAAAGAGGAGCATAAAAGCGAAGTGAAGCGTGGATGGCCAATGGGCCAACTCCCTATGATGATGAGTGAATAAATGTTTATATTCAGACAATAATATGCAGGACAAAAATAAGCCACACATGTGATAAAAGAAGTAATTAGTAGGTAGACACATCACAAGTAAAATCAGTCAAGGTTACTGACCATTAATTACAAGGTCAAAATCCAAGTGAATAATAACTAATTAGTTTGTCCAAAGGCTAGAACAAGCCAAATGTGCTGGACATATTAGTGCACACTACATTACACTGATCACTCCTATATGAAGAATGTTCTCTCTCAATATACTAGTTTAGAGCGTAGGGAATCGAACTAAAAGGTCTTAGTACTTTGTCAAGCCATAATAACAGTTGACTAAACTAAGAAAATTTAACTTTCTTTTTAAATACCATTACTGTTGTTAATCTATGAACCAAGATATCTCTAACTACATCGCAGTTGAGTTTCATTTTTAGGAATAAAGGTATCTTGCGAAGAGTCATAATTTCTAACTTACCTTTCCCCGCATACTTCTTCAAAAAACCTCTTGGGCAGCCAATATCTATGAGTAAATCATGGTTTACTGATCAGATCATTTTTGTTCTGTTTGTAAGACATCTGAACAAATTTTCTTTGTAGATGAATGTGAAACTATGGAAGTGTGTATTCGGAATCAAAGGAACACTTTCTATACACACTTCCACTTAATGAAATGTCAAGGGAATTCAGTTTGTCATCAAACCTATCCCCACGAGTGGAAATGGCTTCAAACTGTACATTGTTGAATTGCTCTGGAAAATCCTCTTCATTTCTATTCCGACCTATGATAATCTGTCGTCAATGTAGCGGCAGTAGACATGTAGTGTATGAATAAACCCATTTAAGGGATCCATTTTCTAGCTTTTCTAGTAAGGAATTTAACTAAAATCGAACCTACAAGTAATATAAATTCATTTCATTGTGATCATTGACTGATAAATTGTCTTGACTGGTTTGATATTTTCATATAAATATTCATATGCATTAAAAACAATATAGTTTGTGAATATGTACTGTTCTAATTACTGAAAATTTATTGAGAAAATAATGAGGTTTATAAATTATTGATATGTTATGCTATTGGACTCCGATTATGTAATCATATTGTAGTGAACGAGAACACAGATGGGGCAACCGGATTGTATTTAACGAAAATTACAGAGTTACTCAGTAAAATAGGAAAACCATATCGTAAATCGTTCATTTGCAAAATATCAGTTCATCATATCGAACTGGACTGTTACTGTTGCAAAACATCAATCCGTTGTCACTATTCATGCGTTTCATACAAATTCCATTGTGTTCTAACTCTTCCTTTCCTGATCTTCACCCATCTTCTGCTGCCAGACATTACGTTGACACTCACGTCATATACTACTTATAAGTAGCTCGCACCACAATATGAATGATAATTGAGAATGACTTAAGTACATATGACTAGATATTTATTGATTTGCCAGGAGGGAGGGAATTTCAAAAGGCATAGGTATTTATAAACAGTTGTCTACTCAAGATCCTATAGATCCGTTCAGCCAAACACCAATCAGCAACAACAACAACCTACTATGGCAGAGAATAAACTCAGTTCCAGCTGATGAGGAAATTAAAAAAACAAATGCTTGAGGTGGACAGGATACACACTGAGAAAATCACCCAGCTGTTTTACAAGGCAAGACCTAACATAGAATTCTCAAGATAAAATGAAAACAGGCAGACCAAATAACACAATGTATGAGGAATGAGAGCAAGAAATTGTGAACAACTAGCAAACAAGAGCTCAGGACATATTTGGTTGGTGGCCTATGTTACACGAGAGGTGACAGACATTCATTAGTAAGCAACAGTAATAGCTCGGATACAGAAGGCTCGATTGGCTTTGCCAACCTGCGTCTCTTATGGCGTAGGCGAGATATCCGTTTGTTGACTAAAGGACGAGTGTACTGCGCAGTGGTTCGCTCCGTCTTACTTTATGGCTGTGAAACATGGCCAATGAGAGTAGAAGATACTCGTCGGTTATTGGTTTTCGATCATAGGTGTCTTCGAAGCATTGCTCGTATATCGTGGGACAACCGAGTGAGCAACGCTGTTATTAGGAAACGGGTACTAGGTAAGAATGGCAGATCAATAGATGAAGTGGTGAAACTTCATCAGTTGAGGTGGTTGGGACACGTGTTGCGTATGCCTAACCACCGACTGCCTCGACGAGCTTTGTTTTGTGGTGTAGGAAAAGGTTGGAAGAAAGTTAGGGGTGGCCAGACCATAACATGGCAGAAATCCATGAAGTTATTGACGAGTGGACTGAGCCATGTCGGTAATTGTCGATTACCTGGTTGGGGTCCGCGAGATGATAATAATCGATGGTTAGAGACCTTGAATGACATGGCTCAAAATCGTTTGCAATGGCGCCAGTGCATTTATTCTTTGTGTTCTCTCAAATCCTAATCTTCTGGATTCTTCAACACCTCTAGTTTTTAATTTCTAATCTTTTCTCACTGAATCATACTTCTTGAATAATATCTTATAATCCCAACCTCACTGATTACTTCTACTACCTTTACTACCTCTTCTACTATTGGATTTGAATTGACAATTACATCTCTGTGCTGATGTGATATGGCGACATGAACTGATGTACTTACGTACGAAGTTCTACGTTGCATCTGACTGACCGAACAGTAATAAATAATATTGTATTAGAAAACATTCAGCTTAATAATTTGAATGTGAATTTATCAATTGAATTAACTTACCAGTATACCATCCATGATGTCGATCCACTAAACAATTAATAGGTTCAAATGAATGATTTTTACATTTTCTATGATTATTTACATTGAATGAATTTTCATTGGAATTTTTATTGTTGATAAATTTGTCTTGTTGATCTCTTTTGATCATAACAAATTGTTTTTAACAGCACCAACAATAATAGTAGTAGTAATAGTAGTAACACGATGAACAAGGTAATAATACTCAATTACTGCTGGGTATGAATTTCAAAAAAAAATAATTGATCATTTAACATGTGTGTGTGTGTGTAGTTTATTTATTATGTGTTGTTGTTAGATCCTTTCAACTACATTTTGTGATCATTAATTATTAAGTAAAGTGTTTAGGTCACAGTACTATTTATTATTTTGATTATTGGTGTGATTATATATATTATGGTAAATGTATTTAGGTTAATTTTTTTTTCATGTGTGTTGACCAATCACAGTGAAGGATCAACTTCATTGATTTTTAAACAACAAAAAAAAATTGTATTTTTTTCTGCAAGGTGAAATGATGACATTCATCTTTAATGTTGTTTATATGATTCAAGTGTGAAGTTTTTTTTCTTTCTATTACACAATGTAATTTATTGAAAAGTGAATATTACGTCAAGTTTCGATTTAAAATTAATCCTGTATTTTGATGGGTGAGTGAAAATATTGATTTATGAATGGAATAAGTCATCAGAGCGAGAGAATAATTTTATACGTTGAAAGAATTATGTTGGATGATGAGTTTGATTTGATAGAAATCTGTGTTCAACCTAGATTATTTGTCTGTAAGAAGTAATTGATGCTCTCCAACGAAGAACGAACAACTAGATAATTTACCAGTGACCTACTGAGATAGGAACTAAACCTCCATAAAACTCTCTGACTACTGAATGTTAATTAATTAGAATTGATCAAAGCTTATAGAATAATGATTAATGGATCCACTTGTTTAGATTCAGTGAAAACATCTCTCCAGTGCTATGATGGTGTTATAATTCCTAATGCTTAGTAGTCTTGGACACCAATCCACTCGACAAGTCCCCAAATCAGCAGATACACGGTTGAACGGCGAAGAGATTATATTCCAAATAACAAGGTTAAATGGAAGTAAGAAGCCGAAGCGAAGGCGAAATAGGAACAACATTAGTATCTTTACTATTTTTACACGGGAAGCTTCTAGATTTTTCTCTAAGTATCGGCTAGCGCTGATTGGGTGAAAATTAGCCAATCAGCGTGCAGCAACGAAGTCATGCTTTAATCCAGTCTATGTCCCACTAACAGATGGTCTGAGTTGTTTCTAAATTTATAACAGTCTAAGGTGAGATTTATTAAATAAGTTGTTTATGCATATGTGAATTATATTGAGTAATTTTCATAAAAATTTTTGATTTCTATCTTATATGCTAGAAGACAGAAATTTTTATTTGAATAATTAATCCGTATTGTAATTGTAATTGTCTAAGATACTTTAGATCCCATTGGCTAGACACCATCAGTAACAACCAACTTTGGAAGAGAAGGCACACAGTGCAGAAATCATGTAACTACATCACGATGTGAGACCTACAAAAAGAAAGGCAGGCAGATCCATGACCATACTGTATCAGGAATTGGAAGCAGATATCAAAAGGATGAATAACGGAGGGAAACAACTAGAAAGTAGAGCCTAAGATACAGTATATTTTAGATTACGTTACAAGTGATAACAGGTGTAAATAAGTAAGTAACTAAGTTAGTTACTTAGTTAATTAGTTAGACAGACAGACACACAGATACAACGCAGAACTTCGTACGTACGTTCATCAGTTCAGGTTGCCATGCCACATCACCACAGAGACGCAACTGTCAGTTCAAATCCAACAGCGATAGCAATAATAGAAGTATTAGCAGTAATGAAGAAGATTAGGGAGCGAAGATATTATTCGAGAAGTATAATTCAGTGAGATAAATTTAGAAGGGAAAAGGTAGAGATTATGAGGAATACAGAAGCTTAGAATTTCATAGAACACAAAGAGTGGATGAACCTGCGCCATTGCAAAGGATTCTGAGCCATGTCATTCAAGGTCTCTAACCATCGGTGACTTTCGTCTCGCGGACCCCAACCAGGTAGTCTACATCTACCAACATGACTCAGTCCACTAGTTAGTGACTTCATGGATTTGTGCCATGTTTTGGTCTGGCCGCCCCTAACTTTCTTCCAACCTACTCCTACACCACAAAACATAGCTCGACGAGGCAGTCGGAGGTTGGGCATACGCAACACATGTCCCAACCACCTCAACTGATGAAGTTTCATTACTTCATCTATTGATCTGCCATCGTTGCCTAGCACCAGTTTCCTAATAACAGCGTTGCTCCCTCGGGTGTCCCAGGATATACGAGCAATGCTTCGAAGACACCTATGATCGAAAACCAGTAACCTACGAATATCTTCTACTCTCACTGGCCATGTTTCACAGCCATAAAGTAAGACGGAGAGAATCACTGTACAGTACACTCGTCCTTTAGTCAGTAAACGGATATCTCGCCTACGCCATAAGTGACGTAGTTTGGCAAAAGCCAATCGAGCCTTCTGTATCCGAGCTGAGATTTCGTCAGTCACCAGGCCATCAGCACTGATGTGACTCCCAAGATAAGTGAAGCGGTCTACACGTTCGACCACTTCACTCCCTATCACTAGTTCAGGTGCCGTTGCAACCCAATCTTGAAGCAACATTTTGCATTTCGAGGGGGAAAACCGCATCCCGAACATGCCTGCATTGTTTTTAGGGTAGTCAGAAGACTCTGCATTTTGTCAGCTTCTTCACCAAGTAGGACTATGTCATCGGCATATTCTAAGTCAAAATAGTCAGTTAGTAATCAGTCCATGTGACAAAGTATTCAATGAATTAATTCATTTGCAACACAAATTTACCATTAATTATCATCTACAATGAATGCTGTCATCAACAGAAGATCGCCTAACAGTTTATAGTTTCTCAAAATACCAATATCGAATAAATTTTATCTTTCTACCGATCATTCACAAGTGTTTCATTTCTTGTTATTAATATAGATGATATATATATATATATATATATATATATATATATATATATATATATATATATATATATTCCCTTTAAGAGTAGGGAACACATAGAGATTAATAATATTCGACCTGAAAGGTCCTTGGAGTAATGTTTATCTGTTGTGGAACCATCAAACGAGCGATTTTAAGTTTAGACGTAAAATACTGGATAAATATGGTAAATCAGTTGATTTATCGACTAGAATGGTTACGTATTAGTGTAAAAGAAAGTTATAAGCCGGCTAATCAAAACGTGGCATCGATCCATAAAGTCACTGACTGTTGGACTAAGCCATATAAGTAAGTAGATTCAGACCACTTGATTGGGATCTGAGAAATTATTATACCAAATGGTTGGAGATGTTGGGTCACGTTGTAGTGTGTCGATTGACTGCGTGTTCTTAAGCTCGGTAATTAGCTCGTACAGACAATCGTTACTAAATAGCGTCTGACGGTTTATAAATCAGAAGGTAAACTCGTCATGTTGAATACGTTTATTTTTGGACAAACCACAAAGCGAAGTTGGAAAGCAGCGAATCAAGCGAACGAAACGACGTGTACTGGAGAAGGCTAATGAGCCAACTCCTAGAAATGGAGCATGACTAAGAATATATAGTCAGATAGAAAGACAGACATGTGACAAGCGAAATAGGTATGCACAGACATGAATAAAAGCGACGAATGATTGACAAGGTCAAAAGCAGGCGAGACAAGTCATGTGAGTCCATAGGGATATTAAGAGATTAACATAAAAGCGAAAAGGAGAGTAAGCGCGTAGGTGTAAGCAATGCTCATTTGTACAAGCTCATACAAAACAGACAATAAAAAATATCAATGGTACATATGGGTTGTTGCTATACGAATAGCTTGGTTAAATAAACTAACTGAAAGGGCTTAACCAAATTAAATGTAAGCGAACTAGAATATATGTGGAGGCACTACAACGTGGTTCAAAATTGTCAATGATAGTGAAGATCAATACATTACTTGTCTTCCATTAAATTTGAGTTTTAAAATGATCTTATACACTTTATTCCAAGAATTTATTCCTTCCTACCGAATCATATTCTTAATATCTGAGCAATCTTACAATTACAGCTTTTACTACTTTCACCATCAAGTAATCTTAATCATTACTATTGTAGTGAAGGAGAACACAGGTGAGGGCAACCGAATTGTATTTGACGAAAATAACAGAGTTACTCAGTCAAATAGGAAAACTATATCGTAAACTGTTAATTTGCAAATCTTCAATCCATCATCAATCAATTGTCTGACATTTCACTATTCATGCGTTTCATACAACTTCCATTGTGTTCCCACTCTTCCTTTCTTGATCTTCCCCCATCTTCTGCTGCCAGACATTACATTGACACTCGCGTCATATACTACTTATAAGAAGCGCGCACCACACTATAAATTTGATATACAGTGAAACACCTAACCAATGAACTTTTTTTAAATTTATACCAATTATAATTCAAATTAAAGTGATAAGTGATCAGCTTTGTTTTGTTACGTAATACATCAATCAAATGATATTTGTGGAAAAATCTCTCCTGAACTATTCAGATAAATTTTACTGATTTAAGATTTTAATTCAATGAGGACGAACCTCGTTATAGATTGAAAGCATGACCCACCAAAGACTAACCGAAATGAGATCTGAAACTTCTTTCGGTTTATTTCTATCGATCGAATATCGAGTGCATTATTCTTCAATACTAAGTCACTTGTAAATTAGATAGATAAAAAAATTTTCTGATTACTGAGTAATCATTAAACGCAAAGGAGTCCTGGTAATTGTAAAATTTTTCTGAGATCATGAATCATTTAAATTTAGACAGTCATTGAAAACCTGCAGAGCTAAGGAGTCTCTGACCAGTACTAAAAAGCTGTCCAGTGACCCCCCCAGATTCTCGGTGGTTGATCTAATTTAGATCGGTTTTTGATTTCAATGACAGTAATGAAACAGATAAACTAACTGCACAAGTAACCTATTTGTTTGCGTGTTCGACTATAACAAAGAACATATTTAGTGATCTTGGTACTTTGGTTTGATT